AATCCAGCGAATGTTGGCAATTTGATCTCTAGTTCCTCTACCTCTTTGAAACCCAGCTTGTACTTCTGGTAGTTCTCTATCCACGTATTGTTGAAGCCTAGCTTGTAGGATCTTGAGCATGACCTTGCTAGCGTGTGATATGAGTGCAATTGTGCGATAGTTTGAACGAACTACCTGACTGTTTAACTGTCCTCATCAACTGTCACCCTTCAGTTGTCAAAACCTCAAACTGTCACTCCTGATAGACATACATATTCATCCACACAGCATCACTTCCAAAACCCCTCCCCCTCTCTGTCACTCACCAATCACACCACACTTGCCTCTTCAAGCACTCTAGACTATCACATGCAACCAAACTTTTAAAGAGACACACACCCATAAACAAGGAATCGTTACAAGCAGTTTCTGGAAAGAGCTCTCTCGGCCCCACCTACCTCACAGGGTGTCTGTTGTGGGGAGCGGAAGGAAAAGGAGTTTGTAAGCCACTCTGAGACTCCGGGGTAGAAATCCAATCTCCTCCTCCTTCTTCTTCTTCTCCTCCTCCTCCTCCTCCTTCTCCTCCTCCTTCTTCTCCTCCTCCTCCTTCTTCTTCTCCTCCTCCTCCTCCTTCTTTGCAACAACCCTGTGAGACAGGTTAGGCTGAGGATGTCTAACTGGCCCTGGGCCCCCCAAGCGCAGAGGGGATCTGAGCTTGGGTCCAGCAGCCCTCCTAACTGCTCCACCCTGCTGGCCTGGCCTTCACAGGGATTTCTGTGGCTTCCCAGCCCCCAGGCTTCATTGGCGGTCCCAAAAAGAACAGTCCTGCCCCTTCCTTTGTGACTTGCATGGGCCAGGGCTAGAGATGGAAAAATTTCTGGAAGTTTTGATACCATGGGGGGGGGAAAGACTTTTTGCCAAAGAATTTCCCCCCCCTGCTTTAAAAACATAAAACGCGTCATTTATACTGTATCTGTCATGTAAATTTGTAATAGCAATTTTTCACACATTTATGGTATTTAAGAGCTTTTTTCTGAGCAGAATTGCAAATGAGCCCAATACCTGAGAGAAAACTGCAAGCTTTTCTCTTAGCCTCATGGACCTTAATCTTTGCTGTCTGGTTTCAAAGAGCTCAGTTCCCAATGCAACTTTGGTGTGGTGGTTAAGTGCGTGGACCTCTAATCTGGGAGAACCGGGTTTGATTCCCCACTCCTCCACTTGCAGCTGCTGATGTGACCTTGGGCAAGCCATACTTCTGATAAGAGCTGTCCTTGAAAAAGAGCAGTTTCTGTCAGAGCTCTCTCAGCTCCACCGCC